TAATACCCAAAATCTATAAAGAACTCATACAGCTCAGCATCAAAAAAAAAAAAACTCTATTTAAAAAAATGGGCAGAGGACATGAGTTTCCCCAAAGAGGACATACAGATGGCCAATAAACATATGAAAAGATGTTCAAGATCACTAATCATCAAGAAAATCAAAACTACAATGAGATAGCACTTCACAGCTGTCAGAATGGTGTTTATCAATAAATCAACAAACAACAAATATTGGCAAGGTTGTGGAGAAAAGGGAACCCTTGTGCACTGCTGGTGGGATTGTAAATTAGTGCAGCCACTATGGAAAACAGTATGGAGATTTCTCAAAACATTAAAAATAGAAATACCATATGACCCAGCAATTGCACTTCTGGGTATTTATTTGAAAAATTGAAAACACTAATTCGAAAAGAAATATACACCTCTATTTTCATTGCAGCATTATTTACAATAGCTAAGTTATAAAAGCAATCTAGGTGTTCATTGATAAACAAATAGATAAAGATGTAGTACATATATACAATGGAATATTACTCAGCCGTTAAAAAAGAATAAAATCTTGCCATTTGCAACAACATGGATAGACTGAGAGGATATGGTGCTAAGTGAAATAAGTCAGAGAAAGAAAATTCCATATGATTTCACTTATATATGGAACCTAAAAAACAAAATAAATGAACAAACAAAATAGAAACTCATAGATACAGAGAACAAACCGATGGTTGCCCTATGGAAGGGAGGTTGGGGGGATGGGAAAAAAGGTGAAGGGAATTAAGAAGTACAAATTGCCGGTTATAAAAATAGTCACAGGGGTGTAAAGTATACAAATATAGTCAATAATATTGTAATAACTATGTATGGTGCCAGATGGGTACTAGACTTATCATGGTGATTACTTCACAAGGTATGTAAATGTGTAATCACTATGTTGTTCATCTGAAACTAATATAATATAGTATGTCAACTATAATTGAAAAATAAATTAAAAATAAAAGTTTGAGAAAATTTGAGAAATACCTCTATATACTGTTATGGAATGATCTTAGCAATGGAGAAAAGTCTGTATAATACCCCCACTGTTTATCTAAAAAAAGGAAAAGCAAATACATTTTCATAGTTATTTACACATATCTATACCTCTATACGTATACATATTTTTAATGGAACAATAATCAAGCAAATAAAAAAATGTTACTTATAGGAAGAGTAGAAGAACAAGGGGATAGAGACAGAGACAGACTTCTGAATATGCCTTATTCTTCTTATTTGACTTTGGAACCACATAAATGCTTTATATCATTATAAAACAAAATTAAATTTTAAAATATAAGCTCTAGAAATTGAACGCAAATGAAACGAATAAGCTTATCTATGTGTCAAGTTCATGAAACAACCACACATAGGTGAATTCTTTCAAGAAACTTGAAAATACAGAATTATAAACACTAAATAAATAAAATCTTAAACTATGTTCAATAACCACATTGCTAGAAACAATATTGGCACTGTTATTCTCAAACTACATAGATCAATAGAGCAAATAGTATTATGTTAATATAATTAGGAACTAGTATTTTCAGCAAAAGAGAAAAAAGATGCAAACTTTTAAAATAAAAGAAGTTTAGATGTAATGCTACATGTGAATAGAAAATGTCAGTGAGCTCGCAATGTATTTTCTCTGAAAGAAATACAAAGAGTACCCCCACTCTGTCCATTAAAAGGACCAACTTCAATGAGCACCCCAGATCTGGATTGTGAACTTTCGATGTCCACACTAAACGTCCTCATTAAAACGAGTGGTGATCCTTGGAGAAATGTCTGATTCCAGGACAAGGACAGGAAATGTACAAAATGAGTTGGGAGCATCTTGTCATACCAGGAAGCAAGAAGTTACTAAAGACTAATGAGGTTGTGCCAACAGGACCCCAGAGCCAACCTGAAGAAGCTCTCATTGGACAAAGGCAAGACAATTAGAGCAGCAAAAGTAACAATGAGTGCAATGAATTAAAATATATTAAATATATTTAAAATTCTGTGTTCATAATGATACTGAAAAAAAAAAAGACTTGGAAGATGTTAGGAAAAACCAACTTATAATTCTAAAAACTGGTAAATAAACAGAGTGTATTCAGAGTGTGTCCCATATGCATCTCAAGACCCTTTCCTCAGTGATTTTACAGACTATAGACCAAGGGTTTTAACCCAGCACCAGGTCCTATCAGTTGACATTGCATGGTGCAGCCTCCATCACAGAATTCCATTAGGGAAACCCCCAACAGCCACACAGTAGAACTTTGATGGAAAAATGCTTCCCTTTGTCAATGCTTTGGGTCTTGGCTACCTTATACACTCACTAAAATCACCAATCCAGGCACTAAGAGAAACTGAATAATAGACTGCAATAAATTGGGCTAGAAGCAAGAATATTAATAAAGTTAGAAGTGATAAAATAAAGCCATATATGGCATGCCCACAGCTGCCAGCATGTTTAACAAGAAAAATGGTGAAAAGCTAAAAGCTTTTCGCCTAAGATCAGGAACAAGACAAGGTTACCCACTCTCACCACTGTTATTCAACATAGTAGTGGCAGTCCTAGCCAAAACAATTAGGCAGGAAAAAGAAAAGAAAAGGAATCTAAATTGGAAAGGAAGAAGTAAAAATTATTCTATTTACAGATGATGTGATATTATAAAGAGAAACCCTTGAAGACCACAAAAAAAAAAACTTGCTAGAGCTAATAAATTTAGTAGAGTTACAGGATATAATATCAATATACAAAAATCAGTTTTGCTTCTGCACACTAATAACAAACTATCAAAAAGAGAAGTTAAAAAAACAATTCCATTTATAATTGCATCAAGAGAATAAAATGCCTAGGAATAAACTTAACCAAGGAGGTTAAAGACCTGTACACTGAAAACTATAGGACATTGAAGAAAGAAATTGAAGAAGATACAAATAAATGAGAAAAATATTCCATGCCCATACTACTCAGAACAATCTACAGATTAAATGCACTCTCTATTAGAATTCCAATGACTTTTCTTACAGAAATAGAACAAACAATCAGAAATTTTATATGAAACAACCCCAAAAGACCCCAAAAAGCCAAAGCAATTTTAAGAAAGAACCAAACCAGGGGCCTCACACATTCAGATTTCAAAATATATTACAAAGGTAGAGCAATCAAAACAGTGTGATAATGGCATAAAAACAAACACTTAGAACAGAATAGAGTCCAGAAATAAACCCACACGTATGTGGTCAGTTAATTTACAACAAAGGAGCCAAAAATATACAGTCTCTTCAACAGATGATTTTGGGAAAACTGGACAGCTACATGCAAAAGAATGAAATTCAACCACTATCTTACACCAATCATAAAAATCAACTCAAAATGTATTAAAGACTTGAACATAAGACTTAAAACTATAAAACTCCTGGAGGAAAACATGGGGGTAAGCTCTTTGACATAGATCTTGGCAATGATTTTTTTGAGTTTGACACTAAAAGCAAAGGAAACTAAAGCAAAAATAGACAAGTGAAAAGCTTCTGCACAGCAAAGAAAACCATTACAAAATGAAAAGGCAGCCTACTGAATGGGAAAAAATATTTGCACATCATATGTCTCATAAGGGATTAATATCCAAAATAAAGAACTCATACAACTTAACAGCAAATAAAACAATCTGATTTTTTTAAAAAAGGGTAGAAGATCAGAATAGACATCTTTCCAAAGGTGACCTACAAATGGCCAGCAGGTACATGAAAAGGTGCTTGACATCACTAGTCATCAGGGAAATGCAAATCAAAAACACAATGAAATATCACTTCACCCTTGTTAGAATGTCATCAGAAAGACAAGAGATAACAAGTGTTGGCACTGTTGATGGGAATATAAATTAGTGCAGCCACTATGGAAAACAGTATAGAGGTTCCTCAATAAATTAAAAATAGAACTACTATATGACCCAGCACCCCCACTTCTAGGTGTATATAATGGCATATTATTCAGCCATTAAAAAGAAGGAAATGCTGCCATTTGTAACAACATGGATAGACCTTGAGGGCATTATGCTAGGTGAAATAAGCCAGATATGTAGAATCTAAAAAAAAGTGAAACATAAAAACAGAAAGTAGAAAAGTAATTGCCAAGGGGTGGGGAAAGTAGGGAGAGGTTGATATAGGGTTCAAACTTTCCACTATAAGATGAATAAGGTCTGAGTATCTGTCTAACATGATGACTATGGTGATAATACTGAATTGTATAATTGAAATTTGCTGAGAGTAGAACTTAAACACTCACACACAAACAGATAAATATGTGAGGTGATAGATATGTTAATTAACTAGATGAAGGAATTCTTTCACAATGCATATGTATATCAAATCGCCACAATGCATACTTAAAATATCTTACAATTTTATGTCAATTATACTTCAATAAAGCTGAAATTCAAAGAAAGGTGATGACTGCTGTCAAAACAGTATAGCTTTGAGATCTTGAGAAAAATTAGTTACCTTCCAGCTAGCAGATGATTTTTTTTTCAAATCTTGTCAAGTTTATGAAGTCCACTGGACTTCTCTTAGGTGGATGTCCATTCCTTCTCCTTTCACATTTCATAATAAGGTGAAAAGGGCTTTGAAACTGTAAGGTGCCATGTATGCATTGGTCATGAGAAGTTACTATTCCTTAGTTCCCAAAACAAAATCTCTCTTCCTGAATTTCCTCTGTCTTCCACAGCCGACTCCTCCAAACACTGAGTGGACAAATTAGGAGCTAGATCTTAAAAAGTGGAGAGTCAGAGGACCAGGGGATCTCATTAACAAGGGGAAGTGCTGGCCAGGGGAGCCAGATTGATTCCCCACTCCCCATCCCCAGTCAGATGGGATCAGGTGCTGGAAGAGGCCTTCGAGTCCTCCCATGCTCTCCATGCCCTTCTCCTGAACCTGCCACTGTGTTGCATGGTGGTGACACTTGCTCTATCTGCCTCACAGGGAGTCCGAGCACGTGGCAGACGTAGCCTTCCTGGGTACCCGGGCTGGCCTCCTCAGAAGCACCTTGTTCGTGGGCTCCGAGAAGGTCTCTGACAAGTGAGTTCCTGCTGGGTGCCCAGGAGCGGGATCCCTGTAGGGTGCTCCTGTGGCATGTGGTCAAGCAGGGATGTGGACTCCTGGAGTGCAGGGAAAGTGGAAGGATTGGGTTTACAGAGTGAGAGGGTCCTAAAAGTAATCCTTCATCCCAGGCTTAGACACAACCTGGAGGTGACCTTGGGAGAGGAGGGAGGGCAGCCCAATCAAGCAAGAGAGCCACCAAGACGTTGAGTTTGGAAGAGTTCGTCACTTCCTCAGAAACCTAGAAAATGTTTTCCCCCAGGAGGACGGGTCTCTATGTGACAGGCCAAATCTTCTGGCTGTGTCCCCTCTTTTGTTGACACTTTACCCATGCCCTAAGCCAGAAATTATCAACTGGGGGAGATTTACCCCACCCCAGAGACATTGGGCAATGTCTAGAGACATTTTTGGTTGTCACGACATAGGGAGGAGGCGGGCGGGGGGAGATTGTTACTGTCATCTAGAGAGTGGAGACCAGGGATGCTTCTAAATGTCCTGCAGCATGCAGGACAGCCCCTACAACAACCATCTGGCCATAAATCTCAGTAATGCTAAGACTGAAAAATCCTGCTCCAAGCAAAGCCCAGATTCTGGGAAAATCCTGCTATGCCCAGGCACCTGCCACCTGGTTTCCTCCCCGCCAAGTGTTATAGCAAAGGGAGGGTGGGGACCCAGAGGAGGGTTCTGGCAGTGGGAGGGGGTAGCAGAGCCACCTGTGCTCTGCAAACCACAAGACTCAAATAGCTGAAGGCTTCCGGAGGAGAAAACCTGAGGGGGCTCCTGAACAGACTTGACCCCTCAGTCCTCACCTCCCACCCACTGGCTGCTCCTCCCACTAAATCCAAGAGCACTTAGCTATGGAGCACCATCTTTGAGCTTCTTCCAGGACTCTGACAGATCTATGCTTGCTAGAAAGCTGAGGCTTTCTAAGAAAACAAATTAAGTTGCTCTTTCCTCTTCCCACCTCCCCTCACTCCCTGAGAAATAGAAAAAGAGAGAAGCAAGCTGCCTTGCTGACCTTTCTCATGGCCCCATCAGAGACGAAGCAAATAACTTAGACAGATTGGACTGGTGGGTAAACTGTGGGTTCACCCTTGACCTTGAACTGTGTGGGGAACTTTCCTCCCAATTATTCTACCCACTTGTACTTCCTCATCCCCTTAAGCTGCACCCTGATCAGAAAATCGCATGTCCGTTGCACAAGTGAACCACACCGGGCAGTGTGAAGGGGGAAAGCATCTCAGCATTCCCCTGCATCCTCTCTAAAAGCCTTCTAAGAATGGAAAAGAAAAATCTCATGCAGACAGACCTTCTCAAGTCAGGGACAGCCAGCCGCACATGCACCACACAACTCCAGGGGGTTCCCTTTACCTAAACCATGATGTGACTGGAAGCCCAGGAATTGTGCAACAGGCAGGTTGGCTCCTGGGGCATGCAGTCCAGGCAGTCTTAAAATCCTTCCTCAACTACCCACTTGTAGGCTGTCCACAGGAACATTTCTAACCCCACCAGCTTCTCCCTGCCTCCCACTCTGCTCCTGGACCAGCACTCCCTTCTGCCGGCTGGTGTGTGCTCAGGGAATGCAAAACTATAATTAGCAAGGTAAAGCTGCTCAAAAAAAAGAAAACTCATAATGCATTCTAAAACCTAGAGGCAATAACTTTTGAAGTGACCATTTTGGGGGAATTTATGCTAGTATATTAGCTCAGTGAAGGAGTTAACTATATAATTTCCTTACTCAGACATACTAATTAGGCAGACAAAAAGAAATTAGGCTATATTCAAAAGAAATAAACCCTACAGGCAAAGAAGTTTACATAAAAATGGAAAGTATTCTTTTGTAATACAGGCCCCACACCTCTCCTCCTTACTAATGTGCCAGTCATCAGATGCAATAGCAGTTGATTCTGGGGACGTCGTCGGCAATACCAATTTAGGAGCTAATATTTTCTACCTGCAGCTTCACCAAAGCAGAGGGGAGTCACTGCCTTGGCCCGGACAAGATGACAGTTTTTGAAAAGAAGTAGGGGATGAAGATGTTCCCAGATTTGGAGGAGAAACCAAATCTTTCTCCTTGCAGGAAGTTCCTGACCCCTGAAGATGAGGCCAGCATGTTCACCATGGACCACTTCCCTCTGTGGTACCGCCAGGCCGCTGAGCAGCCCGCTGGCAGCTTTGTCTTCAATCTCCGTTTGGCAGAAGGACCAGGTAATCACGCCCTTGTGCTCCGGGGCCCAGGGGGACCAGGGTGCCCCGCTCCTCCTGCGCTCTTAGTGATATGGGGCAGAACTCCTGACCTCCAGGTTGCCTCCTTACTTTCCTCCTGACACGTGACAGTGACTTGAGAAAGCTCACTGGGGCTTTACCGCTTGGCTGGTCTCTGCCTTGCATATGAGGCAGGTCGCTATGTTCTCCAGCCAGCAGTCAAAGTTGGCAGTTAAAATCCAGCATGAAACGAAGGAAAAAGATTTGACCAAAAGTCAAGAAGAGCTGAATTCTAGCCTAAATTCCAAATAGGAGAATATGGGATGAGTTCATCTCTAAGATTCTTCTATTTCTAAACATCTGAGTATCTTTGAAAGTTCCTTAAACCACCCAGATGAAAGTAACACTTGTTCCATCTGGGACTGTCATACTTTCTGAGCTACCGCCCCCCCACAGCTCTTCACAAACAGGGAAAGCAGCCTGGGTTCCACTCCCTGGGGTCTCCCAGGAACAGCAACAATGAGCTACCGGCCAGCTCCTCAGAAATTCCCAGTAATAATGCGGTGCCTCCCGCTGGCAGGCCACTGGGGGCTTGAAGAGTAAGAGGCAGTGTGGCCAAAGGTGGGCCCCAAGGACCAAGCCAGCAAACCCCACTGGTCCAAGGACCAGGAAGTGTTTCAGAGCCGTGGGTGCCCAACTCCCAGCCCCCAGCCCACACTCTGAAAAATGACCCAAAAAAGAAAAATTAAGTGATTTTAACAGAGCACCAAGAAAGCAGTAGAACATTTAGAACAGAAAGAGACCCTCACCCACTTGATTTACATGTGAAGAGACTGTGGCCTAGAGAGGCGGAAGGGTTGTCCAGGCCTCCAAGGGCGCTGCCAGAGCGAGCTCTCCACCGGTCACCTCTGGGGTAGCCTGACCTTAGCACGGTGGAGCAAGGGGGCCTGGAAAGTATCCACACTCAGGTCAGAGTGAGATGAGGAAGAGAAAAAGGAGGAGGGACAATGGGAGCCATGAGAAAGGAGAGGGAAGTGCGGGAGTAGATTGGAATTAGGATTGCACGGCCCCCAGCCCCCCACCAAACCCTCCCGGCCACCACTTCCACTAAAACCATCCTTCGGCTTCCTGATAGAGAAACACCCTGAGCTGACAGCCGGGGAGGCCCTCTGGGGCTGCGGCAATGAGGAGGGGTCCCCTCTGTGCCCTCTGGGTGTCTTCTTCTCCTTGAGCTTAAGCCCGCATCTTCTTCTTACTCCAGTTCCTTCCACTCAATGTATCGTTAATGTGTTTTACAAAATGCTTTTCTGCACATAACACCCTTAATCTGCACAACCCTACAAGATAAGTGGTATTCTCCCTCTTCTTACACAGGGAGAATCCGAGACTCAGAGAGGTTCTGTGTCTTGCCCAGGATTACACAGCTAGGGAACCACAGAGCCAGCCTAAATTCAAGTCCGCTCACCAAAGTCTGGACTCTTTTACTGAACTGAGTGGAAGGCAGGAAGGGGAGGGTGACAGTGAGTGCCGTCATTCCCAGTGAAAGCTGAGAGGGAGGTTCTCAAAGCCAAGGTTAAGCTCCCCTTGCCACACTGCCCATCGGAGCCAGAATGAAGCAGCTCTTCCTTCCTGGCACCACCTTGGCGCTACAGCAGCACCAGGGGCTCCTGGGGAGGTTCTCTTGGATGAGGCCCTGGCCCCTGTCCCCAGCCCAAGGTGATAGGGTCTCTCCTGCCAGCATTGTCACTGGGATGTGCCTGCTGGCTGCTGGGGGAGCTTTTTGTGGCTGTGAGGTAGGAGGGGGGGTGGGTGGGAAATGAGCCACAAGGAGAAGAGGGGGAAGCTGGCAACCCAAAAAAGAGGGACCGTTGAGTTGGGAGGTAGGAGCTTGCTCCCTTTTCACACCCTCACTTACTGGCTTAACTCATGCATATGCTTAGGGACACGTGGACACCTCTGCACACCCCCATTCTCCCTCAAAGAAAACAACAACATTTTCATTTCAAAGGGAGGGGGTGCCCCTAGAGGCAGAGGAGTCAGCTCAGGATCTGCCTCTCCAGGCTGACTCCGTTGCCCTTTGCCTGGGCCTGGTGGACTGAGCTCTGCCCACATGGAGCTGTCTTTTGTCAGAGCCTGAGAAACCTGCCTGCATAGAACAGAGTCTTGCCAGTGCCCAGGCGACTTGGGCCTGTTATTTTCCCTTCCACAGCCCCTGGGCCTGACCTCGCCAGCAGCTGGTAGCCTGCTCGTTCACCCCAGGTGCTGGACCACGTAGCTGCAAGGAGACCTAGGTGCTGAAATTTCTGATGTCTCCAGAGACTGTGTCATTAGGGCCCCCACATTTTCACTTGGATGTCTCCTATAAGCCTATAGAGCACACATACAATGAAAGGTCTGTCCCAGACCTGCTGGCCTGGAGAACACTGCAGAGGGGTCAGCCATATCAGTATCATCCAGACATTTCTAGGAGCATGGTGAGGAAGCTGACTTGTGTCCGTTGTAGTCCCTTGGCAAATTCCTACAATTGAGGACAACCTCACATGTCGTAAGTCCCTAGAATCAGAGTAATTTTAAATTTCTGTGGAATATCTGATTATAGCAAAGTGAGATGGATAATCTCAGCAAAATAGCAGATATGAGAAACGAGCAGTTTAAGTTTCATTACAACTGACACTGTAATAACAATCTCCACACAACAAGACTTTCATGACCCATTTGTTTCAACATTTGGTATAATGACAGTCTAACAAAAGAACACATGATAAAATTTGCTCCTTTCTTGGATTTTTTAATAAAGGAACTTGACCTATAGGACAAGAGTGCTTTGAAAAGCTAATCCAGGTCCTTGGACGCAGCAGTCCCCAACCTTTTTGAGGGACCGGTGCTCCTCTGAGAATCTGATGCCTGATGATCTGAGATGGCGCTGAGGTGGTGATGCTAGCGCTGGGGAGTGGCTGCAAATACAAATGAAGCTTCGCTCTCTGGCCCACTGCTCACCTCCTGCTGTGCGGCCCGGTTCCTAACAGGCCACGGACCAGTACCAGTCTGTGGCCCGGGGGCTGGGGACTCCTGCATGGACAGAGGAAAATTAAGAAGCCCAAGGTCATGTACTAGGCTGCACGAGTTCAGGGCCAGAAAGCTCTGTTTTAATGTAGAGCTGAAACTGCCATCTATGTCCTGCTCCTACGTTGACCCGATCTCCTAAAAGAGGTGGAAAAGCAACTCCTGCCCTTCAGGAGCCTGGCAGAGCCCCCTAAAAGTGTGGTAACAAGCTGCAAAGTGAGTGAAAGACATGACTGAAGGACACAGTGGTGGTGGCAGGGGGGCCACCAATGACCAAGATTTATGGAGTGCCTCAGACGTGTCAGACGCCAGCCAGCTTTCTGTGCCTGATGCAGCCCTGGTGTCTGGCTTCCTGAAGGGGCTGTCAGTGTCACCCTGACTCATGTGACCGATGAAGGACGATCCAGAATCAGCCACCACCGAATCCTGGAATGCAGCCTGTCCTTCTGCTAGAAAGAATCGTCTGATGCAACACAAGTCTTCTCGGTGGAACACATGCCAAAAGGACAGTCACAGCAGCATCCCTGCGTTCCAGTGAGACAGCAGCAAGCAGACAGGTTTGCTGCCCTGAGACAAAGAAAACTCAGTATCTGGTGGCACTGCATTGTCCGAGTGGCCAGGGGCCACAACATATTTATCTGGCAGGTTCAGATCTGCACAGAAAGGAGCCAGCGCTCTGCCAAGACCAGTGGTTGGTGGTAACACAGTTGTCACAGCAACAACTTCCCCTAACAGCCCCCTCAGTTGTTCAAGAAATGTCCTCTCCTGGTATTTATACTTGTCTTCTCAGCCTGTCCCAACCACTGCTCTTCCCCGGCTGCTAAGAAAGTGACTTGGCAATTTTTGTTTCCCTAGAAAGTCCGGGTGAGCCGGTGGTAGTAACAGCGAGCACAGCTGTGGCAGTGACAGTGGATAAGAAGACAGCCATTGCTGCAGGTAGGAGCTGCCCTTTGTGCTGCTGAGGCCAGGAAGTTGTGAGTCAATGTTTAGAATAAGGCACATGGTAACAGCAGGGGGCCCCTGCCTATGGTCTGGGGTGTAGTCCTCAGCTCTAAGTTTTCCCAGGTGAAATGTGGGACTGAGGGTAATGAGGTCTCCCTAAGTAATTTTGTTTATAAAAGAGTAAAACCTTAGGTCTAAAAGGATTTGGGAAGTATGTAAAATAAAGTCCATATAGGTTAAGAGATCTACTGAAGGTCAGAGACTGCAACTTAGACCTCCTTTCCATACTTCTGCATGCCTCTTCCCTTTCCACCCTGTGGGTCTAGTGCCCCTTTGAAGAAAAAACTGGACTGTGACTCAAATCCTAAAGTTAGACCTTAATAAGTGTTCTCAGCATGTGCCAGGCACTTAGGAGTCTGCTTTCCATGCACGTTTTCATGCCGTCTTTAGGGTGATCCAGGGAAGCCAAGATTTTTGGCTGCATTTTACAGATGAAGAAACTAAGCACAGAAAAGTTATTTGCCCAAAGTCTCACAACTAATAATTAATGCAGCTAGAATTTGAACTCAAATCACCTTTCTTTAAGCCCTGCATTCACTACCATGTGTTGCAATTTGCCCCAAATGTAATGAGAACACCCAGTGACTTTGTGGTTTTTTGGTGCCTAGAAAAGCCCTTGGAATTTCTGCCTCATTGTCTGAGAGCTATCAGGCCCGTGTGATGAAGCCTCCTTATCCTGGTTTCAGCTTCCATGTCTCAGATCCAGCTGTGTTCTGAAAAGTCGTGTGATCCAATGGGCACTCGAGCATCAGCTATCATGCATCCTTGAATTAAGCACCTGTCCTGCTTCCCTGGGGACTCCAAAGCTGGAGCAGGGCAGAGCAGGCAGGATCAGTGCACCTCCTTCCCCCAGGGTGAAATTCAGGGCAAAGAGGATGGAGGAGCAGGCTGGGGTCAGGTGGTCCGACTCTCTCTTCCTGTCTCAAGGAGGGCACAGGGCCATCCTAACTGAGACTCTTGGGCTGCTTTCCGCTCTGGGATAGCAGGTGGAGGAGAATGACTTGGTCTGATGTTGCTCAACTTCTGTATTAGGAAACACTTGCATCACGGACAGTCTTTAGGATGCACCACTATAGCATTTGGAAGGGAACCCGTGCCACCCTGTCCATTTTTTCTTAGTCCATAGCAAGCTAATTCCAGACCCATTTCTAGGCCAAGATTTGACCACAATCTTGTCTCTCTAAAGACCATTCTATGGTCCCTCCTGAGTCTGTGCCTGTTTTTCTCCCTCTATGATATGGGCCTTTCCAGCCCTTGCATACCTGAAAGTCTAGGAAAGAGAAGGGACATGGGGTCAGGCTGCTCGCTGTGCTTTCCTGCACTCTCCAATTATTTGATATCATTTTTAACTCAGAGCTGAATTGGAGCCGTGAGGGGTTGCCATAGAAACTGTGTCCTGGTGTCTCTGGTTTAACACACTGTAGACAATCCCTCTGACGCTCTGGGGCTCATAGATGTGACAGGAAAAGGATGAGGCACTGGAGACCTTATACTTCAATTATTACTTTTTTCTGGTCTCCTTTTGTAATTTCCTCTCCCTGGCTTATGACTCAGCCTCCCTGATCCTGGGACTAGTGGGGGCCTACAGTACAAGGCAGAGTAGGCAGCTTATTTGTGATCCTGGCAGTTTTGTCCCTTGGAAACTGGTGGCACTATGTGCATGTGAGCTGGGTGAGCATGGTGTCTGATGGGCAGGCTGCATGTGTAATTTTGTGCTCTGAGCAAGGAGGAAAGGGCACCCGGACCAGCTACAGAGGCCAGCTGCATGTCAGGAAATGTGTGTATTATAGTAGGCAGCTTATTTGTGATCCTGGCAGTTTTGTCCCTTGGAAACTGGTGGCACTATGTGCATGTGAGCTGGGTGAGCATGGTGTCTGATGGGCAGGCTGCATGTGTAATTTTGTGCTCTGAGCAAGGAGGAAAGGGCACCCGGACCAGCTACAGAGGCCAGCTGCATGTCAGGAAATGTGTATATTATGCCGTGTGTTCATACAGGCGGGCAGATGAATGAGGGATCGTTTTTATCTCTAAGCTGTTTATACAAAATTTCTAGAAATCTAACTCTTTTATCAGGATCTATCTCCAATCCTCCGCGCCCTCCAGGCCCTAGTTGGGGAACATTGCCAAACAGAATGATGGTGACACCATAACCTGCAAGTGTGTTTCTCTAACACATGTTCTGCAATATACATGTGCCCCTGACAGAGACCTTCACGCATTAGGCCTGCTGTCTGGAGCTGCACGAGGTGTCTCTCTTTAGAGTTCCGCCCATGTATGAACGGGCCTCACCATCAGGCCTCATATGCATACTCAGGACGACGACCTGAGTAATGTATCTGTGCATTGCCCAGACCTGTGCCAGGCTTGTGAACGACCTTGTCCTCCGCTTCTGCAGTGGGGTTTAAGGAAGCCTTCGTTCTCAGGTCTGCCATAACTGTTATGGATACAGGGGGGCAACACTCCACAGTAATCACCACCTAGAAAGAGGAACAGCCCAGTTCTGCCAGGAGCCCAGCCGAGCTCCAGGAATGGAGACCCCAGGGATTCCCTTCTCCCTGGGGTTTGCTCCAGTTCACTGGGGTGTCATCGGAAGGAAGCCTCCTGGGAAGGGGAAAATTCCACTTTGGTTTCTGAAGACAACAGACCATATAGCCCGGCCCAGTCAGCCAGAGGCTAGTCCAGGCCTGGAGGTGGGTCACTTGGGCTTTGGGTGGACTAGCGACCCTGGCCTCACTCTCACTCATCTCTACTCCTGGTCCCCCCATCCCCAGCCCTCCAGTCTGTAAGCCTGATTCCCTACCTACTGAAGGGATCCTGTCTGTAAACCCAGAATGTCATCTGCCTGTTTCTAAAGTTGGTCTTGAAAATGCAAGATGATAATAGGTAAAATGGGCTCCTCTTTCATGTCAGCAAACCCCTTAACCTCACCCAAGCTGATGAAACCCAGTCAGCAGAGAAGTCCCCTACCCACTCTTAGGGAGCCTTCCCCCGCCCGCTATTACACAGTGGGGTCCTCTGGGCAGATGTATGCCTTCCTGACTCATGAGCCCATCTGCCCTTGGCTGCCAGGGCAGGTTCACTAAGCTAGGGTGAATGAGCACCCCCAGGGCACAGAACAGTGATGGGTCTCCACCTCCACTTCTTCACTTCACAGCCACCAGCCTGAGGCTCGCATATCCTGCTGTCAGGCCAGCACATGGGTGAGCTTGCCATGCTCAGCTGTATCATCTGTTCTAATCCAGAACTTGGCCCTCCACTCTCTCCCGGTGGCTTCCCAAGGCCAGGCCTCAGGCAGGAGGCTCCCACCTCTTATAGAGTTCTGGACATTGGGGTGACACCCAGCAGTACTTTGCACATCTGCTTGGGAGGTGAGTGGGCAGGAAGCCACTCCCCCAGCACCCACATCCCCTCCCCACCTAAGGAAACCAGGAAGTACATAGGAAAATACAGTCTTTATTGGTCTTCTGAAACAACAAACCAGAAATATAATTTTGCCTTTAAAAATCTTCTGTCTCAGGATGAAGATAGACCGTTGACAATGCCCACCCCTCCCCCCCTTTCCCTTTAGGACATCCCTAGATCTGGTTTCAGCTGGCAAACCAAAAGAAGGAAGACTGCCTCCACCTCAGGGAAGGCATTTAGCAGCCTGTGCTGGGGCTCCCTCTTCCCACCCCCCACCACTGAGAATGGCCTCTTCCTTCCACCATCCTTCTCTATGAGGTGCAAGGGTAGAAGGGTGCAAAGTGAGCTGGGCCTGCCCCATCCTTTCCTGTCCTTCCTCTGGGCCTCTTTGTTCTGGCAGCCTATTTCTGGTCCACCATTGAGACTCCTGTCTTAGAACCAGAACCCAGCCAGGATGCCTCTTGCCCCTCAGTGAACCATGGGAAAACCAGTGTCCAGCAGAGGGAGACCTCATACTCACCAGATCAGACTCCTGAGGAGGGGCAGACCTAGCAAAGGGGCCAAGTGACCTTTAAACCCAGCACAGCCCTCTTCTCACTGCCACTGCCTCAGCCTTGCAAGCAAGTACTCTGCCCCATTGGTGTAGGTTCCAGGTAAAGAACAGACAGGACCCCTGGGCCATGCTCTGGTTGGGACTTCCGTCCAGGTGCAATGAAAAACTCTGGGAAGCCAGACTGAGCAGACCAAACCCTGGGAAAGGGAGCCCCTTCACTGAAGCTTCTGAGCAGAGTGAGGCAGTCCTTTCCCTGCTCCTGGGTCTGTTTGGGAGATGTTGGCAAGCAGTGAGCTTCAGCGAAGGCCACCTGCTTTCCTAAGATGCCACCAAGCACAGAACATGGCCCAGGCCCCACCGGAGGTCACAGGCCCAGGGATGCTGAAGATGAAAGGGTAAGAGGTACAGAGTAATGATTCTTAGGCTGCAGGCTATGGGAATGGAATTGGTGGATGTCCCCACAGGGCCTGGCAGTGATGATGCACTTAGGCAGTGCTGGGCTCTCAGGAGGCTGCCATCACACACGCTGCAGCTTCAAGGTCTCTGGGCTGCTGTCCCTGGAAAACCCAGCAGGACAGGTGTGAGAGGGTTACCATGGTGACAGGCAGGCACATCCACTTGGCCCACTTTAGAGGATCTCGAAGGCATCCTGTGTTGTCAGTTTGGGTTTCTCCCCTCGTTGACTTGAAAAGATTGCAGTAAGAAAGCAGAAGGATCTGTGGTCTGAGGGCTAGAGACCCAAGGGGGAAACATATTTCTGTTCCCTAAGTCCTCATGTCCTCTATCTCCATGTAACTGTGTGTGCACGCGTGCGTGTGAGATTTCCCTGATGATGCTATGAGCTTCAGAGTGAATTAGTGAATCCAGGAGCAGTGTAGTAGGTGTGGTCTCTAGCAGATATAGGGACATAATGGCTTCTGCCAAGGGAATATTATAATCACAGCATTGTGTTTCTAAATGCTGGGTTCAGATGATAGGTTTGATGGGATTGCACATTAGTACCAGCACTTGAAGGCTGGACCCAACTTTCACACTAAAGGGTGGTTAAGAATATCTTCCTGGCTTAGAAGAGAATCACAGAAATAGACTCTAGCCCCCATATCAATTCCTCCTCAGCCCCTAGATGCAGGTGAAGGGGATCAAGCAAGAGGTAGGGAGAGTCACCTAGCTGTGACCGCACCCAGGGCAGGAAGGGCAACGGGAATGCTCAGTCCAGAAGCCTCTACTTGCACACATGTCCAGAAGCTCAGGGAGATCCCCCAAGCGTTCCAAAGATTTGGTGTCCCAGAGAGGAACGGCTTCCATGGAGACAGAGAAGTTCACACTGTGGCTGGTTTGCTGGAGGGCTGGGAGGAAAGTAGAGTTGGGGACTGTAACAGAGGATGTGCCAGCCCTTCCTGAAGCAATCCTCATGCACTCTCCCTGCCCTTCCTACCTAGGCTGGGCTCTCATGCCACAGAGGAGATCTGCTTCTGGTCTTCATGCTCACCCTCTGGGTCCCCCATGAGGGGCTGGCGCTTCTTGAGCTCCCGGTGGTACTTGGCCATGAGGGAGGCATAGATGCAGCCATAGGCAGCAGCTACCACCATCATGATGCAGACGATGCCACAGACAACCCCGGCAATAATCACGGTGCCAATGGCCCGACGCACACTCACTGGCCGATACCTCTGCTTCTGGGGGCAGGCCGTGCTGGGCTCTGGCTCGGGCTCGGCCCCTGGCTTGGGCTTCACAGGTTCTGGGCTGGCTTTGGTACAGGGTGGCCCAGGACTATCCAGCCCAGCTGAGCTATTCTCATCCTCCAACTGGGAGCAATAGTTGAACATCTCCATGGGGACCATGCGCATATCCTTCCCCCTCAGCTCCTTGGGTAGGGTGCAGGCAAGCTGGTCCAGGCGCCCCCCTGCATCAGGAGAGAAAAAAGAAAGGGCTGACCAGGCATTCAGAAGCTGGAATTCCTCTCCCCATCTCCAGGTCCCCAAAATGGAAGACCCAGAAGGTCTGGTTTCTATCAGTAATGCAGTCACTCCCGGGATCACATGGATAGGAGGAGGGAAACTAGTGTCTATTGAGCCAAGTACCATGGTCAGTGAGGCACATATATCACATCATTTAATCCGTGCAGAAACCATGTACAGTGGATATTGTCATGGTTCCCACTTTAAAGAGAAGCACACAACCATTTCTGTCACACCTACCAGCTCCAAAGTCAAAGTGTCTCATCCATGGGGGTGAGACAATGCTGACATGTGGAGGTGCTCCAGAAAGAGTTGTCAGTGTAAAGAGAGAGCAAAGTGCCCTGCCAGACTACAGTTCAGCTACTCTCCTTGACCCTAAATCTGCCTGCTTACTACCCATTCGTAAACCGGGGGCACTATGTTCAACAGATATCTTATCTCCCAGGGCTCTTCCCTACCCCAAAAAGGACAAAAGCCAAAAGCCACCACTCTTCCATGTAGGATCTTTCAGTTGCCTAAGAGCACCTGGAGTTTAGAGAAAAAGGGTTGTGCAAGAACGTTTTCCTTTTCCTCTTTAGAGCTATACAATGGCCTCACTGGCACCCCACCCACAGCATCCCTGAGTACAGAGGCATCTTGGGGGGAATCCTGAAGACCAGTGAGGGCAAAGGTGAGGAGCCATTGCTAATGGGGTGGGGGTGGGAGGTGGGGCAGTGACGGGTGCACACATTCACCATGATAATGGGGAAACCAGACTCCATAATGGGGGGATAGAGATGCAGAACACAGTGGGGTGAGAGAGAGGATAGCTAAGGAGAATGAGCTGCCTGAACACCCCTTGGGAAGTCAGAATCAGATCTTGGCCCTCTTTCAGCTACCAGTGAAATCTATATGCAGGCAATAGACCCTCTGAGAATGGAATCTGCTCCTGTTACCTCTTCACTGCCAGTTCCTTCTCCCAGCCCAGACGTTGCATACAATAGACATTAATCTTTTTTCAGGATGCCAATAAAAACAGCTAAAGATTTTTTAAGGAGTACAAGGTTGAAAACAACTCTATTATTGAAGAGTTCTGAAAATATACATTCCCACTCAATGCTCTTTTGCTCTGAGAGTTTAGTTCCAGTTGACTATATGAAAGGGCGAGGATGTTCCCTAAGGATAACACATTGGTCTGGGTCTGAAGACACTCAGCCTCTAGCTCCCTTGTGCCTCTGACTGCCTGGGTGATCTAGTGAACTGTGTCCAGGGCCACCTTTGTGTAGGCAGGAGCTGGGTGTTGACATGGGAGCAACCTTGTCTTCCTGCTCCAAAGACCTGAGGGTGAATCCTGGCTATGTCATCTCATGCAAATTACTTAATGTATGTAATTGCTCCTGGTTCTTAGTTTTCTTGACTGTAAAATAAGAAGGCTAACCCAATTAGCTATGAGGATTGAAATAGATAACGTACACGAAAAGATAGCTCTATACTGGGAACTGTTCAAGTATTAATTATTGTTTCCTCACTCACAAAAATGGAAGAAATTATCATAGTGACTAACATTTTATGGCACTTTTAGTGTGGAAGAGGTTTTTAATAACTAACACATGAGAATATCATGCAAATAATTGAGATTGTGGCTGGATATGAAACGAAAGGAGTGAGACTTTGATGAAAAGCATTAGCATTCTTTTCACAAAGAGTTTTGACATTGATTCATTCAGCAAATATTCATCAAGCTTCTACCTCATGCTGAGCACCAAATTGTGTCTTATTAAGTTTATTTGATATCGTGACTACTATTAGCAAATAAACAAATAAATGAGTAAGTTTTATTAAGGACTTATTTAATGCTGAGTGCTTTTAAGACACTTTACATGTATTACCTATTTAATCCTCAAAATTATTCTATGAGATAGATATTGTTATTCACCCCATTTAACAGATGAGGGCCCTGCCACAGAGAAGTTAATCAACTTTCTCAAGATCACACAGCTAGTAAATAGAAGAGCCACAAGTCAAACCCAGATCTGGCACTTTTAGCCACTGCACTTACTTCTTTGCCCTTCCTTTCCATTTCACTTAATCATTCCATAGGTCATTACAGAACTTTCCTAGTTAATGAAAGGAGGAATGGAAAGAAAGTAAGACCTAAACCATTTGGCTTCTTATTAAAAGAACAAAAGTTCTTGGGAGAGTTGGTTCAGATCATCATCAAAATAAAAATTTGGTTTTATCTGTGGATTTAAACTATATTCCACTCTCCTGAAACTATGGATATTTAAGAGATTGCTATATTCAAAAGAAGAATGGTGGTTTTTCTTCTTCCTTCTCCCATGCTCAGGAAGCCCAGAGCCATACCTAGTGGGATACAGAGAAAAATTATACTGTGTTTTTAAGTTCCCTCATGAAACCCACCAAAGTGAGATCAAGTTATAGTGAGTCTGTCTGAAAGACATGAGAAGAGAAGGGATGGCAGTGGGGAGGGGGGCACAGAGAAGAAAAGGGAGCAGCAGGGGAGGTGGGAGAGCAGCACCAGGGCCTTTCTGCCCCGCTGATCATTTGGAGGTCGGCTGGGACTCTTCCAGCCTGGCCAGTGGAAGGCCGGGGCCACCCTCTTGTCTCCCTGACCTCGATCCTGAGTCAGTGCCCAGCCTCCAGGAACTGTTGGGCTAGGGGTGACCTGCCAATTTCTCATACCCAGGCAGGGCTGGCTGTACTCACCTCGGTAGGAGAACCACTCCATCCAGTGCTTAAAATCACGCAGGTTACAGTCACACTCCCAGGGGTTGTCCCCAACCTGCAGAAGCTGCAGGCTCACTAGGGGTTCAAATGTCAGCCGGTCCAGGTTCTGCAGGCGGTTGGAGCGCAGTGATAGGGAGCGTAGAGCTGGAAGTCTGTCAAAAAGGCCAGGAGGCAACTGGGCCAGGCCATTGATGGACAGATCCAGGTGGCGGAGCAGGGGCGAGTGCTGCAGCAGGTCCCTGTCCAGGGTCCTGATGCTGTTATTGCGCAGCTGCAGCTCTGTCAGATTCGTCAGGTCCCCAAAAATGGAGCGAGGCAGCTGGTCCAGGAAGTTGTTGGATAGGTCCAATCTCTGCAGGCTGGACAGATTGGCGAAAGCCCAGCTTGGCAGAGAACTCAGCTTGTTGTTCAAGAGCAAGAGGGTTCGGGTGGCAGCCGGCAAATCCGGGGGCACCATGGTGAGGCCTAGGCCACTGCAGTCCACCTCCAAGCTTCTAGTGTCACACTTACAGGAAAAGGGGCAGGCAGAGAGGGCCTCCACAGCATACAGGGTAACCCAGCATGTGATCCCTGGAGGGGCGGGGAATAGGGGGTGGGCGGACAGGTGAAAAGAAAATGGCAGGCGGGGGTTACTGCCTCCTGCCTCGATTCCCTCCTCACTAGTTCCTATCATAATGGCCTCTTGGCTTTATCTCCTTTGATCCAAGCCACAATCAATGCACAAACATTTATTGACCACATAAAAAGATAAGCTCTTCTGTATTAATGGACATCCCACGGCATCAGCAGGGCTCCTTGCCTCACAGCACATCCAACAAAGAAATCACTCTTAGAGTGTGATCCTGCAGAATGGCAGGCCTGAGTCCAGAGGACAAGCAATGCTGGTCCACAGAGATGCCTCGACTCATGTGGCCTCCACAGTTGATCTTTGAAGCTTGGGCCCCACTGACCACAGATGTTGACAAAATTAAGGACATAAGGATGTCAGAGAATACTGCTCTCATGTTCCTCTCCTAGTGTCACTGCCAAGAGAAAGGTTCCCTTTCCAAAAGAAAATGGCCACACTGATGCTTTCATCCCCTCTGCAGCCCCACCCCCAACCTGGAGCTTCGCTAAGCTAATATGTGCCATGCGTGGAAGGAGTGTACAAAAGGACACTCCAACACTGCTCCTACAACCTCTTAGTGTGTCAGATCTACATGAGTCCCGCATACAACATGGAGCTGGCAACTTAGTGTGAGGACCAGCGGGAGCCCAGCCCACCCAGGGTTCGCTCTAGAGGCCACTGTGCAAATGATGAGAATAAGATGCACAATTCCAATTGTATATTGAAGAATACTTGAGCCTGAGCCACTGTGAATCATGGGGACTAAGACTAGTTTATATTTATTCTCATTCTAAAGCCATCCATGCCCATGTTTCTTAGGGCTGCAGGACAGCATTTTTGCAAGACAGATCCTTTAGCAGCACACCTTTCATGGTCCCATGTTTTGCCCAGGACCTTCTGAGTAGCAAGCACTGGGCCCAGCCTGCAGAAGGGCTGGCAGGGTGCGGGTGGGGAGAGTACTCAGAGAACAATCGCAACATGCAGCTCATTCTATTGGCCAACAGCCCTTGATAAGAGTGACTGCAGAACCCCCTTAACTGTCCTCCTGAGTATCAGAGAAGCCTGCTCACTATGAAAGAGAAAAGGGATGAGCTCAAAATAGCTCAGCTGCATCCAGTCAGTCCCACCAAGCCCAAAGGAAGGACCCCAGCCAGAGAAATTATGGCAATATTCAGACTAAGCCCACGACCCAGTTGACCCCACCCAGAGAAGCTGCAGCCACCCCAACCTGGGTGCACAGATGGGATGGTCTGAGTCTGTTCTGGTAGGTGTCTAGTTGTCTGGTGTTCCAAAGGGCAGAATTGGAAGGAACGCGATGGGGCTGTATCCCTCCTCTGCCTGGAGGATCGATGACAGCTGAAAGCCACACTGCAAGGCTGACACCTGAGCCTCTTTGTCCTTGAGGGGAAATGAACACAAGCATGGCATGGGAGCCAACCAGAGACCCTTCCTGGCCATGTAGGGGCACCTGCTGCTACTTCAAACCCTCTCACCCCTCTGAGCCCACCTGCTGCCAGGTCAGCCTGCCCCACACTGCCCCCCTCCATGCTATTTGAAAATCAACATTCTTCAGACTTTACTTTCCTTAGAAAAAAATTCAACTCATCCAGCTTCCCTCTCCAAATTTCCATATAACTAGAGGCCACTATTCCCCCACCCCCAAGAAATTCGGAGTGACATAAAACCCTAGTGACAAAAATACAATCCTGTGTTGTGAAGGGCAGAGTGGTTCTAGAATGAGGTTGAAAGGGGATCTGAGTTGCTTGGGAATCAGCCGCTCTCACATGGTGAATAATTCAGGCTGTTTATGTTGTGGGGCAGCTGCATGACAAGGCTGATCATGCAAGGCGAGAAGTTAGACAAAATAATGTCCCTCAGGACCGTTTCTTACCTCTTACCACATAGCCTGGGGCAAACCAGTCCTCACTGACCTTGTCCCTTTACCAATTCTCGGGCTCCTTTCACCCTGACAATTTTGTAAGTTTCATGATGAATTCCCTTATGGGAAATGGAGAGGCCTTGTTTTCTCACACACAGAAGAAAGGGTTAAAGCTGATCCCTAAAGTCCCTTCCAGCACCACATCCCAAGAACCCACTAGTTCCTTCCATTTCAGAGCTGGGAAAGTGGAGGCATAAGGGAGGTCTCCAGGTTCAGTCAGCAGATGGTCCAGGCAAGACGAGAGGGAGGCTCACCATTAGGGCAACAGGGCTCATACACACTAGGACCGCTGGGGGTGTGGGGGGCACTTCCTGAGTTCAGGAACAGACCGACTTAGGGAGACAGAACCACCTGTCATGGCCTCCAGCTCCTGATCTAACTGCTAGGGCTCCCAGTAGCGACTATTTCTTTAGCTGACACAGATGCCAGTAGAGAGTAAGCCAGGCCTTGGGTCTCCTGGGAAGATCTGTCTCAGACCTTCCTGCAGCCCAGATGCATCACTGCGAGCCAAGCCTGCCCCACTGCCCGGACCCCTACCCCACCCTACCGTACTCACAGGAAATCTGCCTCCACTGCAGGGCCAGCCTGGTCCTCTGCTTGGGGCCACTGCCCAGTGCCAGCATGGTGAATGCCTCAGCTCTCACAGCCCTGAACCTCTGGGGACAGAGGAGCCCCTTGGTATGTGCTACTTGTCAGTCCTGAGAGAGAGAGAGAGAGAGAGAGAGAGAGAGAGAGACTTGAGTGCAAGCAGGCATTTGAGGCCCATCCAGCCAGGGGTTAGGGAGAGGGCCCCGGTGTCTCTTTACACTCCTTGTCATTCCCTCTCTTGTTCTCGGCTATAACTTCCTGGGTGCGGGTCAGAAGAGGACTGAGTGGTCAGAGAAGCCAGGAAACCTTCAGCCTCGCTTGGGTTGACTAGAGGTAGCATGGAGGGGCAGACTCAGACATCCCCAGGAGCCATCCATCTGAGGCCCAGTGCTGAGCTCTGGACTGTGAAATGCAAGAATTGCCCCAGACTCTCCCCACGTCCCTGCCCTCAGCCTCCCCCTGCCTCTTGTTGCCTCTCTGGGATGTTGATCTCTAAGATGTTTTCAGATCTATATGACCTCCTCTGTGTCTGAGCTTTTCCATTCACAGTGGGGAAACTGAGAGACATCTCTGCTAGGTAAGCAGAGTGAGGCCACAGACCACACTGTTCATAGTCCCGCTGCAGCTCTTACCATGGCCCCCAAGGAGGCAGAGAGCAGGCCGTCCGCAGACTCTGCCGCTGGGTCAGACAGGCCCTCTGCAGACTCTGCCTGCTCCCCCTCCACCTTCGCCTGAGAAGTGAGTCCCAGTGCTTGTCTTCCGCCCGCCGGTCTATAATAGACTCACTGGCTCAGGGGTTCATGCTGCAGCAGCTGCTCCTGCAGGAGACAGGGATACAAAGGAGAGGGTGAGATCGTAGACCAGAAGGAGCAGGACGGTGGGTGCAGAAGCCGGTTTCTCTTCCAGAGAGGACTCACCCTTTCTAGGGTCTCGAGGACCTTCCCTGCCTTAACCCAATGACCTGTAAGTGGGACACTAGCCCTCCTCTGGTTCCCATTTCCTTCTGGATATGGCCAAGGGCCCTTAGATGGAGCCCAGAGCCTCCCATCAGAGGGTGTGAAAGGGGACTGTGGTGGTCGCCACAGCAGCTGGCTCAGGGAAAGGTGGAGAATGGGATGCAGGGAGGGGAGACTGCCGACGGCGCAGCCCCCTCCTGCTCCCAAAGGCACCGTCCTGTCAGCTTTCCGCCCCTGGCTGGCTCCCGGAGTCCGACCTTCCTTGGTTGCCTGATTCACTCCTGGGTGATTCCTGGTTGCAGCGCCCCTCTTTCCCCTCCCACAGGCCTGGTTAATTCTGGGAGCCTGAGGAGCCAGTGGCAGAGTTAAGCAGACAGCTGAGGAGGTGGAAAGAGCTGCTGGAAAACTAGCGCATTCAGCTCTGAAATCTTGGGTGAAGCGGGGTTTCCCTCAGGCATTTAGGGTCCTGCTGCAGCTCCCGGTGTCTCTCATCGCCTCTCTCCCCCACCCCTTTGGTTACAGCTGTCTCCCAGAGGGTGGCAGAACCCACTTAGAACACAGCAGCCCCCAAAGGACCTTCAGCTGTGCTCCCAGCAAGGGCAGCCTGCTGAGGAGGGGAGGGGCTCTGTCTGCTCTCAGCTTGTCTTTCCTCTCCAGCCCCCAGCCACATCAGGAAGGCTCCAGGCTATGAAGGCCGTGCAGGGGCTGGCAGAGTGCGTCTCAACAACGGGGCTCAGATGTGGGGTGTGGGGAGCATCCAGTCTCCACACTGCTTCCTGGATGGATCCCAAGGCCCTGGGCTGAGGCGTGGGAGAGATGATCAGAGTAGCTCAGGTGTTGTTCTCCAGCTGCTCTCCTAGAGCCAGGCCCCAGCACCATCCTGGCTCAGACGCCCAGTCAGGCAGGGCTCTGGGTTCAAATCTCTGTCAGGTCATCCCCTAGCTGTGCTACCGTAAACAAACAGCATAAACTCTCTGGGCCTCAGTTATCTTAGCTCTAAAAGTGATGACAGTAATACTTAATGGGTGGAATATTTATGAGGATCAGTCTAATTAAGGGAGGAGAATTAACATTAACTATATTAAGTACACAAATTACCTAAGAAGATAATTCAGGCGAATACACCCAACTCGGACTTGAACCCATGATAGATGTGAGGAAACACCAGCAGCTTGCCGCAGGCCTATGAAATCTCTTTCCCGATCCCACAAACCTCACACATGGGCCTACTTCTCTATTCCTGAGCACATGGCTGCATTCCCGAGCCTGCGCCAGGACTGTGGACCATCATGATTGAGCTCACTGCAGGGTGTGCTCACACACACAGCCTTCACTGACCTCCATCACAGGCAGCGGTGCACACCCTCTCTGTCCCCCAGACTCTGACCCCCAGAACAATGTCCTACACCAGCAAGAACCTTCATACCAAGAGCTCACAGCACCCACACTATATTAGGCAGGTCAGCGGACACCCAAGGCAAGGAGACAATGGCCAACTTGCCCAAGGTCACACAGTAAGTCAGGGATAGAATCGCAAGCCTCTGAGCCTGGCTGCTCATCCACTCCCTGGTGACTGTCACCCAGCATGGCCCCTGTGGGAAGACACTTATGTGTGCACAAAGCAGGGTGCACACAGGCTCCCAGACATGTGCTTGGAGCTCCCAACACAGCACGTGATGCAAACACAAACCCACAGAGAGTCATGCAGTTAGGCACGTGCTAACACACACACGTGTGCACACATGTACGCCCTGCTGGCGGCCCCCCAGCCCTCCTCAGATCCAACATTCTGGCAGCAGAGTAAGACACCTGGAAGTTCCCCAAATCCCCCAGCAGACAGGTATACAGGGATACCTCCAGTCTAGAAGTAAGATCTAAAGCAAACCCTTACAAGGCTGTCCCTAACCCAGGATGTGTTCTCTGCTCAGACCCACACAGAGCTGGGTTCCCAATCCAGCCTTCTGCTCCCACTCCATCCTGTTTCCTGCAGGGAGGCAGGTGGCAGAGAACCCCCCTCACTTGAGCCCAGGCCCTATTTCCACCTGAGCCTCCTCTTTCAAGCAGGTTTCCCATTCCACCCCCTCCAACCTTCCCCAGACTCTGTGTCCCCGCAGAAGTGAGCCAAGGAGTTGACCAGTAAGCAGCACTCAGTGGAGATGGTGGGCCCGAGTGCAGGTCCTGATGCCGTATCCCCAGCCTTGAATGATGTCACGTATGAAGCGAGCCAGGCAAGTCGCCAAGATGTAGAGACACAGGTGGCACCTTGCAACGTTGACCCTGGTATCTCTGGAGAAATGCGATAGAAACAAGGCCCCCAGGTCCATGGAGGGACCTGTGTTCCCTGGAGAGCTGACCCTGCCTCCTTGGGCAGCAGAGAAGTGACCCTTAGGGAGATATGGGCTTGAGCCCTCTGCCCACCAGCACACCTTCAATCAGAAGACTCCCTTCCCACTCCCAGAAGTACCCAGCCTCATTAGGAAGGAGATGACCTACATTAGGAAGCTTGGAGAGCAGCTGCTTCGGCAGGTGCTGGCCGGCTGCTGGAATAAATTAACGCCATCTGGGTGGGCAGTCCCCACCCAGGGTAGAAAATGGGGGATGGAAAGAGAGTCAGGGGGTCCTGCCAACAAAATGTCCTGCTCGAAGTCCCACAGCCTTGTGGCTCTGGAAGCCGGACCTGCTGCCAGTCCTCATGGACCTTTTTGTCCCAGTCCCAGAGACAGATACGAGAGAAAAGGGGCGGCCCCGCAGGGACCCTGGGCCTCCTTCAATGGGCTTTGCTGGGAGAACCAGGATGGGAGGATGGGGCTGAGGAGCTAAAATCAGTCAAGTAGGGAACCCCCTGAGAACCAGAAATACGGGGCTGTGTGTGCCAACCCTTTGCTACTCAGTTTGGTCCACGGACTGGCAGCATGAGCTCACCTAGAAACATCTTAGAAATGCAGAATCTTGGGCCCCGCCCTGGCCAACTGAATCAGAATCAGCATTTTACCAAGATGCAGACAGTTTGTATGCATATTTAAGTTCAAGAAGCCCCGGACTAGATCATTTCTCTCCCAGCAGACCGGGGCACCTCCCAGGAGGCCATGCTGGTCAGTCTCGGTACCAGCCAAGGAGTGCCAGTGACCTGGGCAGGGTACTGACATTGGAACCTCCTTCCAGAAGCCTCTGTATAGGGAGAAGCCATTATCATAGCCACAAACACCTGTGTGTGGGGTTCTTAGTCCTCATAACAACTCGCTGAGGTTAGTATTACTATTAACACCATTTTGTAAATGGGGTAAACTGAGGCAGGGGAAATTAAGTAAATCCCACAGGTTAGGTAATAGAAGAATGCAGCTTTGGGCCCAAATGGTCTGCGACAAAGCTGCTAACTCAGCTGCCTTTACAGTCCTCTAGGTCTGTTCTGTTCCTGATCTGCTGACACATGGTGGTTCCTGGTATAGAAAGGAAAGGCAGGAAAAAGGAGACACGACCTTTCATTTGTACTGCACAGCACAGTCTACAGGCGTTTCCTCATTCACCCTCTCACTGGGGCTGAGGAGACAGGTATCCTTACCCCTTTTCCTGAAGGAGAAGCAAACTGTGCCTTGCTGGACTGAGATGCAAGCCGGGTCCTCCCGATGGCCACCCTCTGCCCAGAAATGTCGCAGATGCAGCAGGGAAAAGCCCCCCTGGGAGGCCAAGACCTGGTCAGGGAAGTGGAGGGGGCTTTTCTGAAACCCTTCTGGTGGAGGGTGAGTTCTGAGGTGAGGAGGGTGAGCTGGGAGCTGCAGAGAAGCCGGAGGTGGGGAGGTAGTGATGGAACAGGAGGCAGCAGTAAGAGCAGAAGGTTCCACGTGCTCCTGCCGAGCTGAGTGGGTGAGGCGTCCCCTGGAGACTGAGGGTGGGATCTGCTTCTGGTGGGGGTGGGGGGGTGCCTCACCTCGGCCCCCAGGTGAGGAGCAGAATGCCTTGCTCTCATTCTCTGCAGGCGCTCAGATTAGGATGGTGCTGAGCCCTGACCTCTCTTGGCCTCTGCCCCAGAAGTGGTCTCATACACCAGCTAGAAAACGCCAACAAACCCACCACAGGCCGGGTGCTTACACCCTTCCTCTGGTGCTTCTACACATCCATCCCCCCA